GTTTTTGAATGTTATAATTCTTGACGTCTGATTTGTGTCCATTTATTCTTTTGCATAGAGACTGTCTGGTTTGGCAGAGGGGCATTGCTGGCACATGATGGCATATATCACCTTGGTAGATGTGCAGGTGAACGAGCCTCTGATGGTGTGGCTGATGTGATTAGGTCCTATGATGGTGTCCCTTGAATAGATATGTAGACAGAGTTGACAACAGGCTTTGTTGCAAGGATAGGTTCCTGGGTTAGTGTTTTTGTTGTGTGGTGTGTGGTTGCTGGTGAGTATTTGCTTCAGGTTGGGGGGCTGTCTGTAAGCGAGGACAGGTCTGTCTCCCAAGATCTGTGAGAGTGAGGGATCGTCCTTCAGGATAGGTTGTAGATCCTTGATGATGTGCTGGAGAGGTTTTAGTTGGGGGCTAGGCTAGTGGCGTTCTGTTACTTTCTTTGTTGGGCCTGTCCTGGAGTAGGTGACTTCTGGGTATTCTTCTGGTTCTGTCAATCTGTTTCTTCACTGCAGCAGATGGGTATTATAGTTTTAAGAATGCTTGATAGAGATCTCGTAGATGTTTGTCTCTGTCAGAGGGATCGGAGCAAATGCGGTTCTATCTTAGAGCTTGGCTGTAGACAATGGATCATGTGATGTGGTCTGGATGAAAGATGGAGGCATGTAGGTAAGTATAGCAATCAGTAGGATTCCGGTATAGGGTGGTGTTTATGTGGCCATTGCTTATTATCACTGTAGTGTCCATGAAGTGGACCTCTTTGTGTGGACTGATCCAGGCTGAGGTTGATGGTGGGATGGAAATTGTTGAAATCATGGCGGAATTCCTCAAGGGCTTCTTTTCCATGGGTCCAGATGATGAAGATGTCATCAATGTAGCGCAAGTAGAGTAGGGGCGTTAGGGGACAAGAGCTGAGGGAGTGTTGTTCTAAGTCAGCCATAAAAATGTTGGTATACTGTGGAGCCATGCGGGTACTCATAGCAGTGCCGCTGACTTGTGTCGTTATGTGGCAAGATATGTATTTAATGGGGTAGAAGATGCATAGCTTTTGTTTTTTTTTCTTTCCACTCTCTCAGTACAAATTGTGTGAGACTAGAGGGGCTCTGAGGATTTTTTACATTGTGTTAAGATGGAGGAGTCTCCTTCAATATCTTTTCTCCCACATTTCTTAAAAATCTGGTTACAAACTTGACAAGTGAGTTTAATAGTATCTGACACGCAGAAGGCAAAGTATTTTGGGATAGGTAAATGAAGATTTACTAAAAATAATCCTTCATCTGTCTTTGTTAAATGCTCTACTTTTTTTCCTTTTAAAAGCAGCATTCGTAATGTTAAACTCTTTTTGAAACGTTAGTGTTTGGCAGCTTGCATTAACATGATTGAGTCTTAGGCTAGAAATGGAAATGAACACTCTAATTTTTACAGGATGGCAGATGTTTTGGAGACCCAAAGATGTCAGTGGAATTTTAGCAGTTACGCTTTGAAGACAGGGTTATTTTTTTATGTATTGTGAGGATGTTTTCCACCTCACCTTCAGCCATCCTACTCTTCAAATAGAGTAAATTCAGAATTTTAAGGGGGGGGGTACTTTATTTCCAAGTGCTTTCAGTTACTTAACTATTTAACAATCACAGTGGGATGGATGGATGAAAATCTTGAATGTAGTCACTATGCTAAAATGTAAGGGCATGTTTCCCTCTTCCTTTCTCTGAATCTCTCTGTCTGAAGAGCAGCAGTGCAAATCAGCAAATGCTCCTTTGAACGTGGTGCATTTTTTGTCCCTCCCCTTTCTGCCAATCTCTTTCTGTGCATTTTCACCCTTCTTGTTTAATTGTCTTCCAACTTTCTTTAGAGCATTATGAAGCAGTCTGTCAAGGCACCCTGTTGTTACCTATTTCTTTCCTTTTCTAACTCCAGAGACCCTACATCATGATACCTATATATTAAACCATGGAGGGTGAGCCTGATGCAGCCGTAGAGCCTACTAGTGGGTGAGGGCTCTGGTTGGAGGTGTGGGCTCTGGGGTGGGGCTGGGGATGAGAGGTTTGGGATGCAGGAGGGTGCTCCGTGCTGGGATCGAGGGGATTGGAGAGCGGGAGGGGGATCAGGGCTGGGGCAGACGGTTGGGGCGTGGGGAGAGGCTCAGGAGTGCAGGCTCCGAGCGACGCTTACCTCAAGCGGCTCCCGGAAGCAGTGGCGTCCCTTCTCTGGCTCCTACGCATGGAGCGGCCTCTGACCATGCTAGAGTGCTGAAGCGGGGCCGAGCGGCATGGTGCAGCCCGCGACTTGACACCCTGGAGCGGGGCAAGCCCCAGATCCGGCTCCCCAGCGGGAGCTCGCGGGCCAACTGAAAACGATTAGGCTCGCGGGATGTAGTTTGCCTGCCCCAGATTAGGTTGTTACCAGACAAATATGTGCTGCCATTGACCATCCAGTGGAACTTTCCTTAATTTTTGCTAGGCAAATCCTTTTCCCTCATTGGGGAGAGGACTTCTGTTGTTTCTGTTTTCTGCTCCTTTTCTTTTGAGGTGTTGGTGATGTTGGGGGTGAGGAGCTTGGGGCATGGTTCTTTCTCCCCCCTTCCCACGCCCAATAGTGCTCATTCTCATGTGCTTGTCATAGTAGTTTTCCTTAGTAAGAGCAGCAGAGGAGGGAAAATAACATGACTTCAGTTGTTTTCATTCTGCTGGTGGGGACATGCTATATGCAGGAGCGGCAGAGGTATGATGTCTCACAGTTATAGGTGTTGGGGTGACGATGGACAGTTTCTCTTCTCTCTGTAGATTGACATTGGGGGCGATCATACCTGTTCCTCCACTGACCCTGAATGTAGCCTGTCCCCATCATGAATGTGGAAGGAAACTTACTGAAATAATTGTCATTTTCACTCTGCTGCTGCTACTCCTGTTGATGGAAATTTTAGTAGGGTTCAGGGATTAACCTGTATTTCATGTAGAGCACACTTCTGTGTCAGTACTGCTGTGCCTGAAGATTGCCAGCAGGATCCAACAATGTGGGAATAGCCTAATGTTTTTGGACAGGGCTGTAAATGCCCACTCATCATTTGAACTTGAGGTAGGCTGCATTTTTTTTCCTTTCTGTGCTATCAGTTAAGGAATGGGGAGAATGAGCTGCATACAGAATCCCCTCTAGTAATTTTCAGTTAAAATGACAGTTGTCAAGATGTGAGGCTTAGAGTGGGGACAACATTATGACTAGAGCCCTATCAGATTACAATCCATTTGGTAAATTTCACAAAGAAAGGATTAAAAAATCTTAAATTTCCTGGTGGTGTAACTGGGGGGGTCCTGACCCAAAAGAGGGTATCGGGGTGGGGGGGGGAAAGAGGGGGCTATCACAAGGCTAATGTAGCGGGATTGCAGTATTGTCACTCTTACTTCTGCACTGACCTCGGAGCTGGGTGGCCAGTACATGACGGCTGCTGGCCGGACGCCCAGCTGTGAAGGCAGCATTACCACCACCAGCAGCAGAGAAGGAAAGGTGGGAATACTGCAACCCCCTACAATAGTCAGATTTCACAGGGGAGACCAGATTTCATGGTCCATGATGCATTTTTCATGGCCACGAATTTAGTAGGGCCCTAATTATGACCACTGTCTTAAAACTGTGACACTTGGCATACCAGGTATGAGCCATTTTTGTGTCTTCATAATATTTAAATATAATCAGTTTGGTAATTTTTAAGTTTTATAGAAATGATTTTTGAAAATTAGTGGTTTCTTATATTTATCACCACTGTAATATATTTCATTTTTAAATAGTTTGTGCCAACAACCCATTTAGTTTTTAAATTAAATACAGAAAACTAATTTAATGTAATGACTGTTGCAGGAAATTCAGAGTTAAGGGCAATTTTATTAAATTAATATAAAAACATTCACACCTCAAAGTTAATGGCTTGGCTTAAACTGGAAAAAGCCAAAAATTTCAGTGTTAAGGCTGAAACTCTTGCCCATTTAAGTAAATCCTAGATATTGAATAAGGTCTTTTTTTTTTCTGACTAGGTGTCTTCCCAAATCCCTATAAGGTGGTGTCCCATCATACTCTACTTTTCAATTTCCTACTCCCATGTATATTTTGCCTTTAAATATTTAGCACATATGTAATGCCTTCCATCTGAGAAGCATCGAGTGCTTAATATGCGGTTGAGCCTTAACAACCCCCCAACACGTACGGAAATATTTGCTCAACTGTGCTTCTGATGGCCTTAATATTTTGCACTCCCATGTATATTTTGCACTTCATCAGACTTGTTATCTAGTTAGGCCTCACAAATAGCACTATGATGTAGATAAAAAATAATTATCTCCATTTTACAGTGGGGGAAGATAGAGACTAAGTCACTTGATCAAAATGCTTTGTTTCCATGAACAACCTAATAGAGAGAATTGAAATACTTTCACCTTCTACTATAACAAGCGTTTAAAAATTATTGCTTTGTAAAGGCCTTTTGAGTCTTATTTTTTTTAAGATGAAGAAGTTTCTCTTCCTTTCAGATGCCTTTAATATCTTAAGTGTTTATTTTGTGCTCTCCAGTGATATGTTCTTATGGGGATCACTATGGAAAGAAACATGCAATGTGACTAGCTTTTGGAGGCATTACATAATTATCTGACCATAGAGTGATGTAAAATCAATAGAATTTATGTAGTATTATCTCATTTGCACATTAATCTGCTTTTAGCACCAGAAATTTGAAATAAATGTATCATCATACACTTGATATCTAGAAACTTGTTCTAGCTGCATTTTTGTTGGTTAAATTGATTTTCAAGGCTGTAAAACAAAACAAGTGATTTAAAACTGGATGTTTTCTGCCAAGGGTGGCCCACCGAAGGGGTTTTTTTGTAGATAATTTATTTTCATTGACATTTAGCAAATTGATATTAATGTTACGGTTCATCTGGTCTGGAAAAGCTTGTATTCTGTAAACTCTTAGAAATAACACTTTCTGCTTTGATTCCTTTTTTTTTTCAGGTGATTCATGGCAGGGGACGTGGAAGGGTTTAGCTCCGCCATCCATGATACCAGTGTCTCTGCTGGGTTCAGAGCACTGTATGAGGAGGGATTGCTTCTTGACGTCACTCTTGTCATTGAAGACCACCAGTTTCAGGCCCATAAAGCCCTGCTTGCCACCCAGAGTGATTACTTCAGGATTATGTTCACAGCCGACATGAGGGAGCGAGATCAAGATAAAATCCATTTGAAAGGTCTGACTGCCACAGGCTTCAGCCACGTCCTCCAATTCATGTACTACGGAAACATTGAACTGAGCATGAACACTGTTCATGAGATTCTGCAGGCTGCCATGTATGTTCAGCTTATAGAGGTGGTGAAGTTCTGCTGCTCTTTTCTTTTAGCAAAAATCTGCTTAGAAAACTGTGCAGAAATTATGAGACTATTAGATGATTTTGGTGTAAACATCGATGGAGTCAGGGAAAAGTTGGACTCCTTTCTGCTAGAGAATTTTGTGCCACTCATGTCCAGACCTGACTTCTTGTCCTATCTGAGCTTTGAAAAGCTTATGTCTTATTTGGATAATGATCATCTGAGCAGGTTTCCAGAGATAGAGCTGTACGAGGCTGTTCAGGCTTGGCTGCGGCATGATAGAAGACGCTGGAGACATACCGACACCATCATTCAGAACATCAGGTTTTGTTTGATGACACCATCCAGTGTTTTTGAGAAGGTTGGTGCATTTGAAAGCAATAGGCAGGATTCATCATTTAGCTAGGGCAGCATGCCGTTAAATAGGTAAGATTCCCAAACCTGTTAGGAGGGGGAAAAAAAGACAGAGCATTGAGATATATATATATATATATATATATATTTTTTTTCTGGCAAATAACATATATAGAGGATCTAATATCTGAAAGTAATGTCTTCTACTTTTAGAAAATAGCATGTTTTATAACTGGAGAACTGGTAGGTTTATCATGTTTGTTTGTAAATGATTTCTTATAATGAGTCCATTTTAAGTAAGTTCATCCATATGAAGTTCAGTTTATTTCAGTCATTCTTATTGCTGTCCACATCTTGATTTTTTTTTTAAAACTCTTGGGAGGCCCAAAGTGGATAGGGCCTAGTGTATATACTCGATCATAAGCTGGTTTGTTTATAAGCCGACCCCCCCAAGATGGATAAGTAAAAATGGAAAAATTTTATGACCCGTTCATAAGCCGACCCTATAATTCAGGGGTCAGCAAACTTTGGCTCCCGGGCCATCAGGATAAGTCGTTGGTGGGCCAAGATGGTTTGTTTACCTCGAGCGCCCGAAGGCACGGGGGTAAACCTAAGTAAACAAAGTGTCCCGGTGCACCAGCTGCTTACCCTGACTGGCTGGGACAGCAACTGGTGGGGAAATTTTTTTGGGGGGAGAAGCTGGGGGTCAGGGGAGTAACCTCTGTGACCACCCCCCACGTGACCCTTGCCTGGGACCCCCACGCTCTCCCCATCCCATCCCATCCCACCTTATCTGGGGAGAGCCAGGGGAGGATGTCTCTGGCCTGGCTGGAGCTGCTCTGGCAGGCTGGGCGGCGCGGCCGCAGCCTGCTCCAGCGGGCCAGACTGGGTGGTGCGGCCGCAGCATGTGCCAGCGGGCTGGGCCAGGCGGCATGGCCGCAGCGTGCTCCGGCAGGCCGGGCGGCATGGTCACAGCCTGCTCTGGGGGGCAGGGCCGAGCGGCATGGCTGCAGCGTGCCAGCCCCGGAGCTGCAGTTGCTTCGGAGGCTGGGGGGAGAGCAGCGTGGCCAGAAGCGGAGAGACTCTGGCCCCGCCTCTTCCCTTCTGTCTCTGCTGGCTGTGCTGCCTCTCCTTGCTCCCTCTGTTGGGGGGAGGGGCTGTGTCCCACCTCTCCCTCGCTATACCCGTTCAGAAGCCGACCCCCTTCTCTGGTGCTTCCCTTTTTTTACTAAAAGAATTCGGCTTATGAATGAGTATATACGGTATTTTATTGTAATTGGGCATCAGCATAATCAAAATCAATTCTCACCGACTTTTAGTTTTAGATAGATATTGTGTACATGTTTTTTAAAAATCTACACTTTAATTGAGGTCACTAGATACTTTGGTGATGGGTGCTATAAATGAATGTTATAAAAGAAGAAAACTGTATACCTATTACTCAACATTTGGTTTATGTTAAAATGGTAAGGTGAAATTTTCAGAAGTTCCTAAGTCTCATTGAAAGGCAATGGTATTTAGGCTCCAAAGTCACTAAGGCACTTCTTGTAGGAGAATATCTTTGAGATTGTATGCATGCATGCAAGTGTCTGATCCTCCTCTCTTGTATAACTCCACAAACTTCAATGGAGCTGGAGAGATTGACAGTAGATCTGGACTAGCATAACTTTAAAAAAAAAATTCATTTCATTTACTGAGAGAACTTTTAAAAAGTCATTGCTTTGATTGGGCAGAAAAAATACTTAGAGAGCTCCTATTTCAGCAATTAACTGATATTTTTGGGCTCTTATTCTCCTCTTGGTTACACAAGTGCAATTTCAATGTAGTGAGTAGAATTTGATCTATGGAGTGATATCTGTTCCTGCTGCCACTTTGCTCTGTTGATTTTTATTTCACTATAAACACAGTTATGCATGCTCAGGAAATAAAATTTTGGGTAAATTAGCAGCAAGGAGCAAGTTCTTCCAAATTCAGTCACCACTTATCAGCCTAAAGGGTCCAGTACAGAATAAACGCTGTTCTTACAGCCAGATTTTAATTTCAAAATACTTATTATTCTACTCCATAACAGTAAAAAATATTTTTCTTAATCTATACTTTTTACGCAGTTAAAGTCAATATTCTTTTGTATTGCTGTATAAAAATGTATAGTACAGAATGGGTCTTCATTAATATTTAAACTTTTGTTGTCTGCACAAAGTGTGTACAGTTCTGAAAACAAACTTTGAAATAACAACTTGGTGTTCCTTTCCATATTGGATTTGTTCAATTTACAAATAAAATGTAGATTTTTTTTTTTTTTTACCTGCAATTGAAAACTAACACTTGCAGTGGGTTTTTTGTCTTGTGCATCAGCACCTGTAGTAAATATTCAGAAATTGGGAGTAAGAGTCCTGATCCTGCAAAGACTTACCCACACGCTTTATTTTGCACGCTACATGTAGTCCCATTGACTTTTGCTAACAATTTTGTTGTTTGTCTGTAATTTACTTATAGTTCCTTGGATCCCAAAAGTTCTTCACTGATCAAATCAGATATCATATATAGCCTCAAAGATCAGAAGAGGATCCGTCAATTGCCAAATAAATAGTGTAAAAAACATTTCAAGCTTCTGAAAGAGCAAGTATTTATCAATAATAGAAAATTACCCCCCAAAAAAGCATCTCGGTGTAGCCGAGGAACACAAGTTAGTGAAAGCACAGGTATGCAAAACAAGAATCCTTTAATTAAGCTGATGTGAGGGTTTTTGTTCTTCACCATGACATGAATTTTGTGCGGTCCGTCATAACTTTGAGTTCCGTTGTTTTTGCCAAATTCTCCTTGGATTAATATATTTAAATGTGGTGGTTTGGGTTTTTTTTGTTTTTTTTTGGGGGGGGGGGGGTATGTAATTTGCTTTGTAGTTCAGCTTTGATATTGGCATCTGGTAAATACAGTATTTATCCAGTAGACCTGTTCTGAGTTAGATTATCTCACTTAAGTAGTTCCAAAATTTTAGTGGAGGTACATGGATGAACAGAGGTTTGCAGGATTTGGCCCTTTCTGTGTAAAAATGTATATTTAAGCACGAATACCTAAATTTATCAGAATTGTTTTTGAAGTATAAGAAGCAGCCAATTACATTAGAGATGTTTGCTACATTTTCATTTTGTTTTCTTCTGAACGGATTGTAATAATTGTGTAGTTTACTTACTTTACATTAAAAAGCAACAGAGAGTCCTGTGGCACCTTTAAGACTAACAGATGTATTGGATCATAAGCTTTCGTGGGTGAATGCCCACTTCGTCGGATGCATGTGCCTATACTAACCTGTAGGCATATATAGAATAAATATAACTTAAATACAGTTTTTTAAAAATGACTTAAATGTTGCATTAGATTAAAGAGACAAGGTGGGTGAGGTAATACCTTTTATTGGACCAAATGACAAGTTTTGGATTTTACCCAGAGCTCTTCATCACGTCTGGGAAACATAGAGCGTGGCAGCTAAATACAAGGTGGAACAGATTGTTTAGCATAAGGAGTTAACAGATTATAAAAGACCATTCAAGGTGAAGTGGGCAGTTAACACCTCTGCAATTGTAGCCCAAAGGAGGGTCAGTGGATTATAGATTGTTGTAAGGAGCCATAAATCCAGTGTCCTTTATTAAGTCCATGATTTTTAGGCTATCCGTCTACACTATGCAGCTTTTAGCAACGGCTGCAGCCGTGCCGCTAAAAGGCACTCAGTGTAGCTGCTGTTTGTCGGCAGCAGAGAGCTCTCCCGCTGACAAAAAGATTTCCACCCCCAATGAGCGGCGTTTGCATTGTCCTCAGGAGAGGGCTCCTGCTGACAAAGCGCTGTTCACACATTGGCAAAACTTTTGTCTTTCGTGAGTGGGTGTGTTTTTTTTTTAACACCTCTGAACAACAAAAGTTTTGTCTTTCACTTACCAGTGTAGACAAAGCCTTAGGCCTTGTCTACACTGCCACTTTACAGCCCTGAAACTTTCTCGCTCAGGGGGCGTGTGTGTGTGTGGAACCCCCAACACCCCCCCCCCCCCCCCCCCC